CATCCATATTTTTCTCTTCCTCAAAACAATCATCTACAAATACAGTACATGGCTGACAGAAAAAACAAAAAAGAAAAGTCATGACTGTACAAAAATCAAAAAGTACAAAATACCTATAACTGATCAGACTCAGAACTCTAATCCAAGACCTCCTTCCCTTTGCCAGAACCTGAAAACCACGCAGAAAATAAGGGTGAGCTCAACAGCTCAGCAAAGCGACAAACCTCCAATTAAAACTTCCAGAATTCAAAACCAACCACTTCAAAACAAATCAGTACAGAAACCAGAACAGAATCAGACAGATATCAAAATCGTGCAGATCAAAACGAAACAGATCAAATCAGAACAGATACGGACATATATCAAATCTATCAAATCAGAACAGATCTAAACGGAACAGATCAGACGGAACTGTACGGAAACAGAAGTCATATCAAATAGTATTGTAATTAATAGCTATATTCCCTGACACTGATAGAATCTCTACGGATTCTGGCCCCTTATGCCTCCCTTTGTGCTCACGGCACCAGAACAGATGTGCTTATAGCACCAGAACAGAATTCATCGGATCCGGAACTATACTCTAAAACACAAAATGCCGCCTTGGATGGCAATATCGGAAATGTATTGTTGACTCACATTTCATTATTTGATGAATTTTTTGAAGGGTTAATCTGAGCTAATGACTCAATCTTTCAATTAATTCATGGATTTATAATTGTATCACTTTTACCATTTATATTTTTTGCAGTTAGCTTAAATCTCCAATTCTCCATGAGGGCAAGTAGGCATGCAAATGACTTGGACTCTAGAGCTCGAAGTTCTTCAAATAGTCAACTTTTTATTTGTAAATTATAATTTTGATTTGTTATTTGATATTAGAGATTTTATGGTTGTAAAATTGTAATTTGTAATGTGGTATGTCTTGGTTGTAATTTGATATTAGAGATTACTTTTCATTTCAGAATTATGTAATTATAATTCATAATTTATAAGTTAATAAATTATTGTCTTTTTTTTTGGAAAATGAATTATTGTTTTGGATTATATTATTTGCTCTCTTGGTGGATTGGTTTGCAACTTTGCATGTGCTGCTGTCTTGCTGGATTGGTTTATCTGAAACCGGGTCGACGGGTCAATCCGGGTTGACCCGAACCCGGCTCGGGTCGGGTTCGGGTCCTAAATACTGACCCGTTTCTATAAACGGGTCGGGTTCGGGTTGACCCGTTTAGGTTCGGGTCAAGTCGGGTTCGACCCGAACCCGACCCGTGACCCGAAATTGACACCCCTACCTGGGAGGAAAATCACCTGGAGCAATCTGGGCAAATTCTGGAGCAAACCTTCAACTGATCGTCCCAGGACGATCCTGGAGCAGAAACAGAACTTCACATGAATCCCCTCACAACTTCTCCCTCACAAAATCTCTATCTCTTATCTCACAAAGCTCTCCTTCTTCTCTCCCTTAAGGCTCTCTCTCTTGAAGTCTTAACAACAAATTTTTTTTTCTAATATGAGTTTTATAAACCTTAACTAGTGGGCTTCAAGAAACACTAATTTTCAATAGATCTATCTTCTTATCATACAATATGATACACGTACAATACGATACATGTACCGTATAGTACGATCAGTGTAATTCATACTTATCCATCAAGATCATTCAGATGAATTGTTCAACTTTTATAACACTTTGTATAGTACGATCTAAACATCGTATTGTATGAACTATAGAAATTTCTTCTATTCATTTGGGACGATCTTTGGGACGACCAACATGTAAATGGTCGATCATCTAAGATTGTGGACATTGTACAATGCGATTAGTACAAAAGTTATGAATTTTGTTTGGTACGATCTCTAGGATGACCAATTTCATACATGGGTAATCGTACAATATGAAATGTATCGTATAATACGATCAGTCATAATAATTGTCTATGATTTGATTACTTGATATCAGAGGATTAATTAACAAAGATTTTAACTATGACATATAATACAAACCAAATCATACTATACAATTAGCACAAAATTAGTATATTTCTTAACCTTTGGCGTGATAGAGCACAACATATTTCACATTATGAATTAAAATCGTATATTATGAAATAAGGTTGTATATTACGAAGCCAAAATCGTGTAGTATGTTGTACTTTAAAAAAAACTCTTAAAAATATTTTTCTCTCTCCCCATATATGTGTGCGAGGTTACTCAACAATTATATCCAACCAATTATATGATACAACTCAAGAAAGAAAAAAATGCATAATAAAATGAAAATCAACTGTAACCTTAATTTATCTAGTCTTAAGCTGATTAGTATTGTAAGTGAATAGTGGATTGATTTCCTGAAATGTTAGGACACACAAAATAAAACAACATATCACAGAAAAATGAGAAAATAGTAACATTGACAATAATATTTGTTATCATCAAAACCACAGTGCTTGAATCAGGTTTACAACAATTTCCTTAGTTGTTTTTCTCAAAATTTAGGAGTAAGAAGATTACAAATAACTAAGAGTGAGAAATCTTACCTTTAAACTTAAAGAAAAGCTATTTCTGTGTGTTATTGGTTGTGTTATAATAATACCTTTCCTTTTTTACTTCATAGACTCAAAATTTATGAACAAAATCATTATTTTCATAGGAAATTTAAAGCGCTTGAATTTAGCTTTAAAAAAGATAATCCCATATTGAACAAAAGCATTATTGACAAAAGTTCTTGATTATCCCCATAAAATTGATAATAGGGACAATTTTTATGCTAAAGTAGGAAACCTAGGTTCTAAGAGTATCTTAGGAGAAAGATTAACCGCATTAAAAAATGAGTTCAACATCTACTTCTCTATGTTTTAGTCATAAATTCCTCCTATCTTGTAATTAATTTTGTTGAGTTTTTGATAAGATGCAAAGGCACTTATTTATGAATCCTTCATAATTAGATAAGGTTGAATTTATAAATATTCTTTGACACTAATTTTATTTATCATCTAATTGTGTATTTTTCTATTTTTTGTATATTTGTTTTAATAACCAAAAGTTAATTTTATAAATTTTTAATCTTCAATTGACATTACTCTAATTATTTTTACAAAGTAATCATTTCTTAACGTTTCTTTTCTATTTTGCACCTCATCTTTCTTAATATTTTCATTTTAGCCATACTTAATTGAGGTGATAAAACAAATTTGAGCTATAACAAAATATTTCAAAATAGATGTACTAATTTATAGACTTTGGGCATACTTTCTTAAAAATTTGACTAAAGCATCAAGTTTTGACATATTTTTTAGAAATGTTGCTAAAATTTTTTACATAAATTTTTTTCTCATAAAATTATGACTGAATCTTTATTTTTAGGCAAAATAACTCATAGGGATAAAAAAATAAATGGAAAATGTTAAATTTTGACAAACAAACTTATTTGCATTTAATTATTATTATTATTATATTCTTGGCATTTACTTAATTTTATTCTAAGTAAATTATATCAAATATTATTATTTTTTTTGTTTTCACAGAAATATAAAGTCTTAATTAATGCAACACAACTCAATAAATTTACATTCAAAATGTAATTTTCCTTAATTTTGAATTATTTAGCCTAACAAAAAGCATGGCTTTATATTCATATTATTTAGGCTTCGTTTGGAATAGCTTTTTTACTGTTTTATGAAACAATTTTTTAGTAAAAAAAAAGTTGTACTAAGAAACTGCTTTGTAAAACAGTAAGAAAGTTGTCTCAAATGAATACTTAATATGAATAAAATTAAAATTTTAACATTGCATTTATTTGTAAAATCTTATTTTAGTTCACTTTTGTTCAACAATAAATTTCAATTTTACTACATAGGTTTTCATATGTAGAGATGTCAATATAGGCTTGACTTGAAAATCTAGGCTTGAGTTGACCTGACCTTCTTAATAAATGGGTTGTGTTAAATTTTGGAATTTTGATTTTTGGCATGTTGCAGTTCGAGTTGACTTGCGAATTCACTTTTGACATGATAGTGATTGATTTAATAATTTTATTTTTCTTTAAATTATTTTGCTTGTTGGTATATTTTATTTTTGATTAATTAACCTAAATTATATATATAGTTTATAAGTTTCAATTAAAAAAATAAAAAAAAAAACAGGTTATCAAATCGAGTTTAAATCTTTCGGGTTATACCTATTTATTAAATAATTTGAGTTCAAATAAAAAATATTAATATCGGATCAATTTCAAATTTGAATATAGCATATGAGTTATACTTATAGTTAGGGGTGTTAATATTTGACATGACCCGAAAATCTGACTTGAACCCGACCCGAAAATTTCAGGTTCGAGTCAACTGAACCCGAAACGGGTCGGGTTCGGGTTCAACATTTCGACCCGTTTAAAAAATCGGGTCGGGTTCGGATTCAACATTTCGACCCGTTTAAATAATCGGGTCGGGTTCGAGTTAACCCTTTGACCCGAAATCGACCCGAGATTGACCCGACAACCTTAGAATGACTCGATTTTGATCCGTTTTTTACCTGAAAAAAGGAGATTAACCCATTTTGACACGAAAACTAGCAAATTTTTTGTTGGAAATGGGTCATGTCGGGTTGACTCGAATCTGAAGCGGGTCGGGTTTGGGTCCAGAAAATTGACCCGTTTTTAAAAAACCGATTGGATTCGGGTTGACCCGTATAGTGCCGAGTGAGTTTCTGATTCGTTGGTCATAATATTATTACAATTATTTATTACTCTGAGTAATTATGTACGGAATAAATAAATGAAAGAATTATGATGCACCTCCACCGTTTTGATGCGATCAGCTAGTAGACCCTACTGGACCTACAAAATAAGCAGGTGCTTTGCTGAATGAAAAGACATAATTACCCCTATTGTAATGTCACTGCCCCTCACGGGTTCAGGGGCAACAATGCGAATTACCAGATTTTCAGTCTCAGCTTACCCTTCGCCTGGAAACCCCTCTGCTGTCTCTATCTCCTTCATCGGGGACTGGCACTCAGAAAAGATAACGGGGGTTGGACTAAAGTGACAAAAGCATAGAATAAAAAACGGAGAGCTTAGCTGGTTTCCTCTTCTTCTGCTTTCCCTCCCTTTCTTCTCCTCCCTCCCGTCCTCTTTTCTGTCTTCTTCACGAGAAATTATAACGTGCGGAGTCCGGACTTAGCTCAGCACCATCGTCAAAACACCAACTTGAGTGGATTAAAGAGTTGTAGAGTTGAGAAAAAATTGATTTTTTTTTCTTTTTATGGGCGCCGTCATGTGGCTGGCGGCGGCGGCGACGGCCGCAAGCCTGATGTGTCTACTTTCTCCGGCGGCCGCATCAGTTGCCTACGACCACAAGGCAATTATCATAAATGGGCAGCGAAGGATACTCATATCTGGGTCCATTCACTATCCGAGAAGTACTCCTGAGGTTATTCAAGCTCAGTTCTCTTCGCAGAAATGTGGCTTCTTTTCTTCTGCTATTCTACTTCATTGCTTCGCTTCCTTCCACTTCCTTTTTTTGCTAATCTCCGAGATTTGGATTTGGGTTTGTTTTTAGATGTGGCCGGATCTGATTCAGAAGGCTAAAGATGGTGGCTTGGACGTTATACAAACTTATGTCTTCTGGAACGGACACGAGCCCTCTCCTGAGCAGGTGTTCTTCCTCTTTCTAATTTATTTCCTTAAGTGCCCTTCTTCCCGTTTCTATTGACTTTAAGTTCTTTCTATCGAGCGTTTTTTATTTTTTATTTTTTTCAGTATTATTTTGAGGATAGATATGATCTGGTTCGCTTCATCAAGCTAGTGCAGCAGGCTGGCCTCTATGCTAACCTTCGCATTGGGCCCTATATTTGCGCTGAGTGGAACTTTGGGTGAACTCACTCACTCACTCTTCGATGTTCCAAGTTCTGCTTGCCATTTATTTTCCTCTCAATTTAAAATGCTATTTTTGTTATGATTAATTGTTTCCTTTTTTTAGAAATATTGGTTTTGATGAACAGGGGATTCCCCGTCTGGCTAAAATACATTCCTGGGATCCAGTTCAGAACCGATAACGAGCCTTTCAAGGTAATAATTCAACATTTCAATCCATTTCTCTTTTTACCATTCTTGCTTGGTTTGTTTAAAATCCCATCTTCAATAGGCTGCAATGGAGAAATTCACAGCGAAGATAGTGTCTATGATGAAGGCTGAAAATCTATTTGAGTGGCAAGGAGGCCCCATCATCCTTTCTCAGGTTCTTATTGATAAATACCCTTTCAATCCTTGTTCCTTATCAGAGTACTTTCTTAAAATATGTGTATAGATTGATTTATGTTGGAATGGTGTAGATAGAGAACGAATTTGGCCCACCTGAGTATGATCAAGGAGAGCCAGCAAAGAACTATGTATCATGGGCTGCACAAATGGCGGTTGGCCTTGATACAGGGGTCCCATGGATCATGTGCAAGCAAGATGATGCTCCTGATCCTGTTGTAAGCAAAGAATAGCCCTTAGTTGAACTTGGAGTGTTTAGGCTCTATTGCACAAGCTCAGGGCCTGCTTTTATTTCCGAAATCTTGGTGTCTAGTTGCCATACATTTTGCTTGAAGTTTTTCAGCTCAAAATTAGATCTTTCTTGGTTTCTCTTGTTTATGCTATAGTAATGAATCTTTTCTTTTTTGACAGGTTAACACTTGTAATGGCTTTTATTGTGATTACTTCTATCCAAACCAACCTTACAAGCCCACTATGTGGACAGAAGTTTGGACTTCGTGGTAATAATTTATTAACAAGGCTTTAGCTTGAATCTGGCAATTTTGGTTAGGTTCGATGGGCTTATTTTGTTTAAGATTCAGGTGACATAACATACTTATCTTTGTAATTCTTAGGTTCACCGGATTTGGAGTTCCAGTGCCGCATCGGCCTGTTGAAGACTTGGCTTTTTCTGTTGCAAAGTTTATACAGAAGGGTGGATCTTTTGTTAACTACTATATGGTATGAACTCCTGTTTTTCTGTTTTCTTATTTTTTAAAGACAGAATTGGTGTTGATATGGATCTGAATTTTTAGTACCATGGAGGAACAAATTTTGGGCGCACGGCAGGTGGTCCTTTTATTGCAACTAGTTATGACTATGACGCTCCGATCGATGAATTTGGTGAGGAAGCTGTCTTTTTTTGTGTAATTTAAGTACTCTTTTTATTAGTTCTTTTGATTTCCAATTTTTTGGGGACCCATTCATTAAAGCCTTTATTTATGAAGCTCTTATCCTGTTGTTATTTATCTATTTCTCTAGGATCTTAGACCCAATTATTCTGGGCTTCGCATGTTCTATTGCATCTTAAAATTTATTAATAAAAATAAAAAATACCCAGCTAGATGACACATCTACTACTTTTGAATATATTCCATCTATTTCACTGTGTAATTTATATAATTTCATTCTTTTTATTTCCTAGGCCTATTGAGGCAACCAAAATGGGGTCACTTGCGAGACCTTCATAGAGCTATCAAATTGTGTGAGATGGCTTTGATTTCTGGTGATTCTGTTGTGACTTCTTTGGGAAATTCTCAAGAGGTAGAACTGTTTATTTCTTCTTTCATTTGTTAAATATACATGAAATGCAATAAACATGAACTAACTGATACACTCATTATCATGTTACTATGTTAGTCACATGTTTTCAGGTCAAATTATGGAGATTGTGCTGCATTTCTTGCCAACTATGATGTGAAATCTTATGCTAGGGTTACTTTCAATGGAATGCACTATGATCTTCCTCCTTGGTCCATTAGTATCCTCCCAGATTGTAAAACCACAGTTTTCAATAGCGCAAGGGTAAGAAGTTAAATTCATTCATATAAATTTCTTCTTAATTTTTGTCAAAATCAGTCTATGGTAATGTAGGTTATTAGATTTTTATTTTGATTGAGATAATTAAGATCTTATTTACACTGAACATTTGTGTTTTCAAGTGGGTGCAACTGTGCAAGCTAATTTTGTTGGTAAAGACCTTTGAAAGTTGCTACCAAGGTGAGCAAACGCAATACCCACCAATCGTTGGAAGAGTCTGCGACTCGTGGTTTTAATTTATTTTCTTCTTCTCCTCCTTTTCTCCACCCCACCCATCGACTCCTAGCTTCCACCGCCGGCCATCTTCCCCACCCAAATCACCCCACAACCCCACCACCTCAAGCCCACCCGCCAACCTAGCCTCATCCAACCCAACACCTAGCCACCCCCTTCCCTTTTTGCCGCCGGCCACCCTCTTGCTCCCATTCCATTATGATGATTTCAATTATCATAATTCCCTTTCTAAATTAACTCCAAGAGGAAAGGAAATCAATTAATTTTATTTGAAATTTGAAATTCAAATTTCAAATACTTTCCTTATTTGCAAATCCTAATTAGAAAAGTGCATAAAATCAATCCTGTTTGAAATTCATATTAGATAGGATTTCTTAATGCCTTTCCTAATTTCCATGAGTTATTTTGGAAACCCTTAAATCCCTCCCCACAATTCCTCATCCTCCCACCACCATGCCGTCGGCTCCCCATTGGCCATCTCACCCTTAATGATGAATTGATGATTAATGTCATCATTACCACTTACCAAAATAGCCCCATTGATTTAGGAAGATAACCCCTCAATTTGAAATTCAAAATTTGAATTTCAAAATCTTTCCTAATTTGACAAAGCTATATTTGAAAAGTTTTAAACCTCATTCAATTTATTTTTAAATTGGATTTGATTTAAGCTTCCTCTTCCTTATTGAGGAAACTCAATTTGGAAGCTCTTAAATCCCTCCACAAAATCCTCATGCCTCTCTTAATGCCGCCGGCCCCTTGATTGGGCTCCACCTTGGATTTCCCTCTTAAGCCCCAACCCAATTTGAATTTGAAATCAAATTCAAATTATTTCCCTCTAATTTCATTTAATCTGAAATTAATTTCAGATTTCTAATAATTCTTCCTAATCCTAACCTAGATCTAGCCACCCCCTCTCTCCACCTCCTACCCGAGACCCCACCCGCCCCTCCTTGGCCGTCCCTCTCCTCTTGCCACCTCGCCCTTGGAAACCTTGTCCCTCTCATGAAATTTGAAGCCAAGAGAAGAAGACAAACTCCTCCCTCATTCTCACCATTGGTGTATGGCCAATCCTGAGATCAACCACGGTTTCGCCTACAACTCCCAAGGGGAAATCAACATTCTTCGCTCCCCTTTCTACGAACCAGATTGGGAGTACGACGACTCGGTGGAAGACTACATCAACCGCATTCTCTACTGCCTAGCGGAGACGATCGAGCTTCAACAACCCAAGGTACCTTGGCGTCTCATCAGGAGATCCACTCCTCCACCGCCGACAACCTTCTCTTGGATTAAAGCATTTGGTGTCGCCACCATCTTAGCGGCATCATTTAGTGTGCTGGAAGCTTCTCTCCGCTAAAACCATGGTATCATAGCCATGTTGGGCTAAAAACCTTTGTTCTGGGCAAGGTCTATTATGGGAAATAAGTAATCTAAATTTAATTTATCATTCCTAAGATCGACATATTATATTAGATCACAGTTTCCACAAACGGGATTTAGTTAGTTTTAATTTTTACATGGTAAGACACGGTGTCCTGATCCATCAGCCAGTAACCCGGGGGACTAAGAGATCGCCGAGAATAGTAGTCGCAGTCCGCAGGTGAAAATGATCGATCAGGGTAGCACTGGAACTTATATGTAAACTTAAAAATTACTTTCATAGATCTGTGGATTTGGAACAATAAATTCGACAAAGGTTACAAGATTTCCCAGATCGACTAAGCCTAGAACATTTTCTACTTATTGTTCTACCAAAACTTGTTCCTTCTATGAGTGATTGGCGATTATCAGCTGCAAGTAGTGAATACAAATCTGCTCTCAAAGCAACTGATTCTATTGAGTCACCTTCGTTGGGATTTGTAACCCATCAGAAGCTCGCCAAAATAGTGCTTTTGCTTTAAGTACAATCATCAAGCAGAATAATACTATAATCCAAATCCTTGTAACAACAGAAAAGGTCAGAGATTTGGAAGAAAAGTTTGAAAGACTTCAACAAACTCCTCGTAAACTTCCATCTGAAACCTATGAATCTTTCCTTTCTGCACTTCAAGAACAATTGAAAAATCTTTCTATTGGGGAAAGTGCATCACTGCCTAAGATTAACTAAGTCTAAGGGACCATTGTTTGTTTTACAAAATCCTAAAAAGATTTTCCAGCAAGAAAAACAAAAATCCTCTTAGATGGCTTCATCCTCTTCCTCCTCCACTCGTACTCCTACTACCCTTCTTCCTTCTCTTTCCTTTCGCAATACGACTCCTTCGTCTACTAATATCGTCGATGATCAGATCTGAAGCTACCGGATGAGATCTCGGTTAGTTTATGAATTACAACGGAGAATGTCTCAAAGGCACAATTACCAACGGAGTCTGGAGAGTCAGCTTAATTCTAAAGCTGAACTATAGATTTCCCAGCATAAGAGGGCCAATCTAGTACCTGGTAATACATTATATGAAGATGGTTGGTCGGCAACCATACATCAAGTCTATCAACATTACTTTGAAGAACGAATTCTAGCAGTTGATGGAACCCAAGTCAACCTGTCCTTTATTAGACAACAGTCGTACCAACGACTTGTCCAAGAAGGGATGCAACATATTCATCTTGGACTAATAATGGTCCGAGTACAAGCTCTCCACTGACGGGATGCTGGGACAACTGCACTATTGGTACTGAGGGACACACGATGGAGATCTGATGTCTCGATTATAGGGACAATGGAAATTGATTTATCCTCAGGTACGCAACTGGTATACATAGCATCCCATTTGATTCTCTCGATTCATGACTTCATGAATCACATGGAATTGGTAGTCATCACGCATGGCTATGAACATGGCAAGGAGGAGAATCTAACCTTCTTATCACCTGAGCATTAGTTGCCCGGTTAACAAATACCAGCCAAGCAGGGTTTCGTTACAATATTTCAGGAGTAGCTGATTACTTGGCGTCACACGGTATCTCAGCCATACCTGGCCATCGTCATACTATAACGGAACTCCAAGGCCGTGCTTGGAACTTAAAGCCTTTTGATGCTTTCTCCCTCCAAGTTCCTCAATCCCTCAACACTCACCAACGACTAGATGAAACTCTTCGTCTCTCCTTTTCCAGCTACACCCCACACTCCCTACACTCTATCCCTTCTACATCCCCTAATGCCACAACTACCGACGAACTCGCTTTTATGGCCTACTCTGAATATGATGGCCCAATCTGGGATGACTCCGACATCCTTCAGCCTTCTGAACTAGATGACGATGATAGCTTTTCGCTGTTTCTTTATCTCAATGCTTATAACACTGCGGCTACCTCAGCCTTCCCGGAAGGTGATGGGGAATTACCATACCCTGACCCTAAAACCGAAACCTTCGACCCTAACACGGAACCCTCACCAAAAAACCAAACCTGTTTTACCCTAGACGATCAACTGGCCGAGCTTGATTATCCAAAGTTGATAAAAATGACTGATAAAGCGGACCGCCTTTATGCCTTCGTTTCCTCTTCATATATGCCCCCAAATGAACCCGTAATGGGACCAGTTAATTATCCACTGGCCATTTTAGGAACATCTGAACCTACTCTATCCCACCCCTCTCAAAATTTTCATCCTAGAACCTTCGATTTCAAAAGAACTTATTCCCAGAACATGTGGACGCTACCTTACGCACACAACAATTAGGGAGTTTTGCTCATACTCCCAGACGACTTCTCTTCGTACGATGATGTAATCTTTAGGTGGGAGTCGATCACATTAAATCTGATAAATGATAAACAATTCTCAGACAACAAAGTGAAGGTTCTATTCATCGAGAACCTCTTAGGAGAAGTCGAGAGGAAGGTATGGATACAATGGCGGATGGCATATGAAAACGAGTATGAAGCCCTCGTTAACATAGCCGATGATCCACGGAATGTCCTTTCACAAATCCGCCGCATTATCCTGATGGAGGACCCTTATTTGGGGTCTACACAAGAGCATAATCGTGCATACCTTGATTTGGAACGACTGCCATGTGACCAAATCAAGAACATGTTCAATTACATGAATGACTACAAGGTGCTCGCGGCTAAATCTGGCCGTATGTTTATAAACCCAGAACTTTTCGAGAAGTTTTTCCGAAAGATGCGACAAATACTAGGTGACGAGATAGAAAAAGCATTTAAATAGAAGGACCCGGGAAATATGATTGGAGTATTGCCAATAATACGTTTTACGTATCAATACCTATTCGATTTATGCAAGAAAGCTGCAATCCAGAGAGTTATCAAAGACTTCTCAATTTGTAGAAAGATTCTCATCCGGGGATACTACAATACTCAGCGCAAATATGGGCTCAAAAAATCCAAGAATTACAAAGGAATTGATACATCACCCCACACTTTCATACCGCAGAAATAACGCAGAACAAATAACAAAAGCAGGAAAGTTAGTATAGAATTAAAACCTCGCTGATTGAATTTCCATTGATCTTATTTAAAAGATTCATTTTCAGGAAATTTAAAATTTGATTTGCTTGTTACTATAGCCTTTTAGTGACCAGCCAGAGATGGAAAGAGAAACTAATCCCCAGTGGAGTCGCCAAAAATCTGTGGGCTCCGAAAATTCGGCCCCGGCCTCCCCGCCGCGCGACTGTTTATTTGCTTTTTTCTTCGGCGAGGGAGTTTTAACGGAATTAAGTTCTGGGGTAAATTTTGGAAGGCAGATGGATTTGTAGATAAGACACTACCCAGAGATTTCGCCCTCATTTTGT